GCTCTGGTTGACTTTCTTGTGTTATTTCTTGTGAACGCCCCTAGCACAGTGGTACACCTTTCCTGCCTTATTGCAGTGGTCACACTGCCTCATCATCTAATGGCTGTTTGGTTTTTATGCCTGGCTGTTTAATTGCACCCCTGCTGGTGCGCACACACCCATCTCTGGCCTGTTCTCGCGTCCAGCCGCCCGGGTCCCTCTCCCCAGGCAGATTTTGAGCCCTGCTCAAAGAGCCCAGAGCGAAGTCACTGGCCTGAAGTGCAGCGAGTGCTGCAGGCAGCACAGAGCGGTTGCAGTGCGGCGTTAGCTGAGAGCTGATGGCTTTTGTTGTCAGCAGACCCCAAAATCTGTCCTGAGGTCCCTGCCTTTTTGGAGGTGCCGACTTCCCTGCTCGTGCCTCTGTCAGTCCGGTGCTGTTGTAAGTGCTGACAGGTCAGGGCGAGGAGTGTTTGAACTTCCATTCTGTCTGTAATACCTGAAGATCTGTGCCTGTCTGGTGAGAGACATAAAGCAGAAGGACACATGAGGATGACCACACTGCAACCAATACCACAGCAGGGCTGAAAAGAAACAAACTCGGCGTGCACCAGAGTCAGATGTGCAGCCTGGCGCTAACGTCGCAGCTTGACATCTGTCTGTTCGGTTGTGATCTCCTTTGCGTTCCCTCTCTTGCCTCCAGCCTCGGTTCTCTCATGGTATCACATTCAACCGAGTTATATTTAATTTGAGTTCAACAGAAGGGCTTATTTAAATATAAACTTTGTGAGTGACAGAGCATTGGCTCAGTACACCAGGAGATGAGTGTGGGGAAGCGGCTGGTGTCTGGGGAAGGGTGGGAGGAGGTCAGCGAGCAGCCCGTGCAGACAGCAGATGGACTCCTTGCCCTCGCCACAGCCCGGCCCCCAAGGCTGCAGCGGGACAGGGGACACCCTGCCTGGCCACGGGGTGTCCTGTCTGCACTGCCCCACAACCCCAGCCTTGTCCAGCTTGCTGTTTTGTGCCAGGCAGTGTGCTTTCAGAGGGTCGGAGCAGTTTGTCCCTTGGCAGAGCACTGCAGGAGGCCGCCGCTGGCTGCGGGGTAGCTGTGCCTTCACTTGGCACCAGGGCCCTCCCTCCCCTACAGCCCTGCTCTGCTGAAACCAGACTTTGTTGACTTCTGCTGAGGGCTGCTGCTGGGCAGTTTCACCCAGCAGAGGTGGGACTGGTGTCCCTGCTGGTGCTGCTGTGGCTCTGTGCCTCCACCTGATGCTCCCTTGCCCTCCGCTCTCCTCCGCAGCTGCAGCAGGGTTTGCAGGGGCAGCCGTGGTACAGGGCCAGACCCATTTGTCTGTGCTCCACGGGGCAGAGCGGAGCTGCTGCAGCCTCCAGCCGGTCTTTGTGGCAGCAGAATGGAATCACTGGGTGGGGAGTGCCTCATGTGGCTGTCTCACATCGGTTCAGCAGGCTCAGGGATGGCGAGGAAAGCCGGGGAAGAAAGAAGGGCTCGGGAGCAACTGCGCTTTAGTGGGACTGGGCTATTACTAGAGCAGCAAGTTATAATTAGACCTGGCTCTAGATGATGAAAAACACTACAATTCGGCACTGGTTTTGTTGGGTGAGGACTCTTACGGTGCTGCAGGTCTCAGTAGATCTGCAGAGTCAGTCTGTACCTGGGCACATCCGTGTCCAGCAGCACAGCCAGCCGTGGGGCCACGAGCCCTGCAGCAGCACGGTGCCCCTGCAGCGTGTGAGTTGTGGCTGGCTTGCTACGAGATTGCCTCAGCCTGGGAAGCAGAAGGTTAGGGTGTCGCGGAGGGAGCTGGTGCTAGCTGCTTTCCCTTCTTAGCCTGATTCCTTGCAGGGTGTCAGTTGCTGCTGTCAGGCTACAAAGCAAACCATAAATAACCTAGCAAGGGAGGAATCATTTCAGGGAAGTGTTCCACGGCAGCCTGAACAGGATTATCAATCAGTTGAACTGACTTTTGTCGTGTGTTTTGTAGCTGGGTTCAAATTATTTTTCCAAATCTTGCATTCTGCTAGGAAAATGTTTTGATGCATGTTCATTAACGCTCACATACAAAGTGCCTTTTTCTAACGTGTTCACATATGAAATGCTGTTTTCTAACCTGAACCATACCTCTACCACGAAGATGCATTTAGGTTTGGTTAAAGACACAGATTACTCTTGTATCCATGACTTGATGCTCAGTGTGTCCGAAGTACCTGTTACACGCACACCTGCTCTTTTCAACATGGCAAAAAAATCTATAAAGAAATACATATCCAGCTAATTATAACTAACTTACACTTCTGGATTTAAATGTTTAATTCCCATCTGAGTTTCTGTTGGACTTGTGGTATTGATAAAGTCTGCTGAGAGATGACCTGGCACCGTTGTACTGGGTCGGTGAGGAGCCTTCAGTCTCAGACTGGAGGCAGACCTGTTAGGAGAGAAGCACAGCGGCTGGAAGCTGTGGTTTGTGATCGCCAGGTTTGCAGAGTGAGGGTGTGCTTCTCCAAATGGTGAACGAGTCTCGCCTGAAATACAGAGGAAGCAACTGTTTCATCTCCACGAGCTGTCCTGCTGCAGAAGCAGATTACTGGGTTGATCGCTTTACAACCACTGCGCTAAACATTCTAAACAATTTATGCGTTTAAACTGTATGTTTTTCTCTCTCAAAACTTGCTACTCTGCAATGTTCCACAGATCTTGTTTATAACACATTCATCTAAAATTATCTCAGTGCACACAGCACCCTCCTATAGAACAGATGCTATGTAACCTGCAGTTCTGTTTTGATCTCAAATCGACGTGTTTAAGCTACTCGTGTGAATTATAAATTGAAACTAAACTAAGAAAATGAAATTGTTGTGTTTTTTGCCATGATGCTTCCACAGTTCAATAGTTCTGTTCATTTTAGAGTGCCTTTCTGGTGTGACACTTGCAGTTGCTATTTCAGGTTTAATTATTTTTGTATTTAAGGAGTTTCTGGGTTATCTTAAAATAATCTCTAAAAATTAACCTTTCCCAGCTACACTATTGAACTTTTCCTGGGTATCTTCTCAATTTGTTTTTGCACCACTTCTGAATTTAGATGAGGTTTATATACAAGAGACATTTTCCGTTGTAATTAGCCTAGTTATGTGTCTTCATGCATCTTGAAAGGATGGCTAAGTATCTCCGGAGATTAGCACTTGCATCCTGGGGCCTTTTCATATCTAAATCACTGGTTATCATCCTCAGATAATTATTCCTATTTATTTACTATTTATATTACAGTAATTCCTAAAGGAGTCTCCCAGGTTGGGGCCCAGTGTGCTGGCTGCTGTAGGTGTGTGGATGAGATGTGCAGCTGCAAATCCCCCCATACTGCTCTGAGCCCTTTGTAGGCAGATTACATTTTGCAGTGCCAGCAGGACGTTGGCAGCACTCTCCTAACCCCCTCCTGTGCATAGGACGACAGAGGATGGAAGCCTGCATCCTTTTGGTTCTAGGAAGAGATTCCAGATTTCACATGCAGGGAAAGGCAGGGATTTCCTGCTGCTGGCTGTGCAGTGAAAAACCGGACTTCAAGATCTGGAGCTGCCCGGTTTGGTCCTGTGCAAATTCCTGGCTTCGCAGGCCCACCACGATTGGCTTTTATCCTCTATAGGATCCCTGGAAAAGCCCTCTGACACTGTTTTGGCACTGTAACTTCATATTTCGAAGCCTTGAAGTATTTCAGTGTTTCATGCTCTTAGTTTTTGGTAAGATGGAGAGAAACTGATTTCCCCTCCCAGGACCTTCTGACTGACAACAGAGCTGGACATCTTTTTCACTGCTCCCCTATAAAAAATCTTTTGGACAGAACTGTTTCTTTGTAAGAGTACTTCACGTATCTTTATAAGAATGAAAAGCTGAAGCCAGAATTGCTTCAAAGCAGAAGCTTCAGATCCGCTTTGGCTTCCTCACCATAGGAAATCCAGGAGTCACAATCACATCATTAATCAAGGGCAGTAATAAAGAAGCCTTGGGCCGAGATGCCCGCAAGCCTGCCAGTACTGCTGTTTCTTCACCTCATCAGAGGCCCTGCCAGGTCCACAAAGTATCCATTCTCCTCCAGCCTGCTGCTTCCTTCTCTGTGTTTACGAGAATCATTTTTCCTGTCCCCTCAGTCCCTCCCGCAGCTCCGAGCTGTGGTCCTGGCACTGCCACGGGCTCGTGTCTGCAGCTCGGTGGGAGCAGGTGGGAGAGAAGGGGACTGAGAAGGAGAGGAACACCTGCAGGCTGTGGCAGAGCCACACAGGGTGTAACGGTGTCGTGGCCCCAACTGCGAGCAAGGTGTAACAAACCTGGGAACGAGGAGGCACCTAGCAAGAGCTGCTGCTGGCACAGAGCAAACAGATGGTGCAGGCAGCCTGAACAGTGAAGGTGTCAGCGTCGGGGGCTCCCTGAGTCCACTAACACGTGCTGCAAGGGCTCAGCGAGCTGCGGGGTCAGCAGCCACCTCCAGAGGCGTGCGGCTCTGCCTCCCAGCACGCCACTGCGGAGCAGCCCAGGCTCAGCCTCCTGACAGGGGGAAGGTAGGAGTTGGAGAGAAGCGACTCAGGCATCCGCTTTGCTGGGTGCAGTTCATTCACCGCGCTGTGCCGAGGAGGCAGAGGGACCTGATGAATGAAAGCGTGGCTGCTGCGCCACTCTGCAAAGGCTGGGCAGAAAACTGCTCTCGTGTCGGCACACGGAACTCGAGAGGGCTGTGCCTGGGTGAGCAGGACGCGCGTTTTCCTGGTGGCTATTGTTTAATTAGGCTGTTGCTGATGCTGACACTGTGTTATTTTCTTTGCTCTATCTCCTTTCCTTCTTTATTATTTCCTACTTTGGTTTGATGTTGTTGGTATATAAAATTTAAAGAGCTCTAAATTTTTTTAAAGGCCCCTAAAGGGAACGGTGCATTTTGTGTTAAAGTCATTACGTGAACACCTGTGAACTGTTGAGTTTAATTGGGCTACAGCTGTTGGGGAGCGAGCAGGGATTTATTGGTTTGATCGGCTGTCTTCAGGCTGTGGTGTGTTGTCATGTGCTGCCCCTCCAAGTTGTCTCTTTAAACAGAAGCCACATCTGCACCTCAGCTGGTTACGGGCACCGCGGGGCCGTGGCAGCAGGGTGGGTCGTGTGGCTGCGTGAGGACACGAAGCCAGCAGAGCACGGGGAGCTGCCACGGCTGGGCTGCAGCCTGTGCGGGACCTGCTGAGTGCATGGCTGGTGCTCAGCAGTGAGTGAGCTGCTCAGGGCTCCCCGCGAGGAGCAGAGCAGAGCAGGGGGTGCTTCCTAGCATAAACTGCAAGGTCCTGCCTGCAACATCACACATCCATATGGGCAGAGCGGAGGTCATGTAAGAAACGTCTCTTTTAAGGAAGCAGCCAGTGGAAAGTCAGCAGTGAGCCAGGGCAGCTCGGGGTGAGCGAGTCCTCTCGCTGAGCAGGTGGGTTGGGGCTGGTGAAGGCTGCGTGTGGTGCGTGCCCAGCCACGGGCACCCCGGGTGCTGGCAATGCTCAGCCCTCTGCCAGAGCCACCTGGGGCTGGTGGCTGTGCCCATCCCTTGCTGGGGAGAGCTGCTCCTCTTGGGGAGCATCAGTGAGCCGAGAGCCTGCCCCTGCTCTGCACAACTCACCTGCAACTTGTGCCTTCATCCAGGTGTCCAGAGCCTCCTCAGGATCCGTGGGACCCCACCAGCAGGAGCCTCAGCCCCGTTGTTGCCAGTCGCCTCACTGTGTGTCTGTGAGCGATGGGGATGTGGACGGAGATGTCTCTGCGCTGCGCCTCGGGGTAGGGGGGAGGGTAAAAAAATTCCTTTTGATTCTTTTTTTTTTTTCTGTTGTTTTCACACCATTAGGAAATAATTAACCTCCTTAGTGAAAGCATGTCTCCTTTGCACCTGAGTAGGAAAACCTTAAAATATACATACAATATTTTTAACACTAAGCTTAAATTATGCAGTTGCTGCATTTTGATGATAAATATGCAGATGAGAAGATTTCTGCCTCTTTTATCTTGTGGTTCTAACTCTGTCTAAAAACAGATTGTTGCAGTCACCCTAATTCTGAGAAAAACAGCCTTTTGTGCATGGAAAAGCCAAAACAAGCAAGTCTGATGATCAGATCTCTTCCTGGCTGGCGTATGTCTGCCATGCTAGTGAAGGAATCACTTGTCTTTCGTGGTGATGGCAGTTGGTGCCATCAATTCCTGTCAGCTGGGAAGAGGGATGGGAAGCCAAATTCATACACTGGTGATTAATTCTGGAAGCTCACGGGAAGACAGACTTTGTGAATACCTCTGGAAAGCTCTGAGGCTGCAGCAGAGCGGGCAGGGTAGGTGGATTCAGTCCAGACCTGCTTGGATAATTCTGGTCTTTCTGCATCCCAGGGACAGCCTGGAGCAGGGATGGGCTCAGACCAGCCCTTGACTGCAGATGTTCAGGCCAGGCCGACGTAAAATGGGTGGGCTGTGGGTGCTGAGAAGGCTGCAGAGCTCGATGGGCAGCAGGTGCTCGTCCCGTGTCCGTGCTTACCGCCCGCTTTCAGCTTTTTCCACTGGAGGCCACGAGCTCTTCGGGCACTTTGAGGAGAGGCACAGTGTGAGAAACTGCCTGGTGTGCTCCCACCACCTCTTCTCCCCTGGTGTGTCTTATTCTCATATATCCATGCCTACGATCATCTGTCTCCAAAGCACAGTTCTCTCTTGCCCTGGCTGCTGCAAGCGGGCTGCCCATTGACCCCTGTGCCCTTTACAGTGTCTGCTGAATGCGCGAGGTCAGGAGACAAAGCTCCTGGGGGAGTCAGGCCAGCCTCTCAGCTACACAGACAGCAAATCCTTGTGCCTGCCTAGCAATCCGAAGCGTGTATCCGCCAAACAGCTCTTGAGCTTTGGTTTAAAAAAAAGAAAAAAAAAAAAGCCTATTGCAGAGTTCACCACTTCAGGCAGCGGCTGCGTGCAAGCTGAATGCGGCAGTGCCCACTGCTGCCCAAAGGGCAGGTACCTGGGGTCCTCATGCTCACCTGATTTCTGAAGTAGCCATCATAAGAAGATGGGTTTCTCTTAAGCTTTGTCTCTTTTTTTTCTAACTTTTATGAGTCTTTGCAAGGTTACTGCCTCCCAAATACATATTCCAAAGCTCAAATTCTGGATTGTTGCTGAGCACAGCAGTCAGCACACCGAAGCAGTTCCTGGTTGGGCAGGTGCTGTGGTTTTATGCTTTTTGGTCTTTCTGGGCTTCACAGCATCCTTCCTAGTGCTGCAAGTGACAAGCAAGAGCAAGTCGTTGTTTGTCACCAGACATTTGCCTCTTCCTGGGCAAACTCTGTTGTTAGCGGCGCTGTGCTCTGGGTGATGTGCACGGGCCAGAGCAGGTACGGCAGCGAGAGCCACCCCCTGTCCACATCCTCCTCCTTCCCCATCTGGTAAACTCCCTGCATGTCTCTGACAGGTTGTAAAATGAGGTAAAGAAGTTGGGCAAAGTGTAATTAATAATCCTGAGCCGATCTGCAGTTAAAGGCTCCCAGTCACCTCCCCAGAGCGGTGCAAAGCCCGATGCCCCTCTCTGGACACATGTCAGGTTAGTGCTGCAAGCACCGCTTCAAGCCTTGCTGCTGGTGCAGGAGCTACAAGGTTTGGAGATAGCACAATGTACACAGAAGATGGCCTCTGGTGGGAGTGAATTGGCCTCGAATTACCTCTGCAGAACCCCCCCTCCGCAAAATAGCAGTTTGCAAGTGAACGGCATTAAAGCAAAGAACTGCAAAACGAAATAACGCCGTCTGCAAGGATTGTGAAACTTCGTTCCCAGACAGTGTAACTTCTCGTTTGACCTGTACATATCCCGCAGTCAAACGTGAAGGGCTTTGGACTCTAATACCATCTGTGGGAATGTGATCCCCGGGCTAGTTTGCAGCTGTTCAGCACTCTCTCAAGATACCCTGGAATTTCCAAGTTCAATTGAACGAGGCAGTGAAAATAAATGTGAAGGGTTTTAATATCGATCTATGAAGATTACGGTGTTCATAGGTAAATAAACGCTCCCGTGTTATATTTTCTTGCATGAAGGGCACAACAGAACATACTTTTTATTTTAGGCTGAGGAAAACCTTAGTGGGAAGGAACAGAAGGCAGGTCCCGGTGACAGCACGGCGTGTGTCTGCGCATGCATGTCTGTCAGTCTTTCACAAACGGTTGCAGACGCTCCGAGAACAAAAGTAGTTGTTGAGCTCTGCACGCGGGAGAGTTCTTACACTCGTACAGATGCAGTCCATGGAAAATAACAGGCCCTTGAGGCTTGGCTGCATAATCCGCACAGCCTCACACCTAAAAATATATTTTCTGATCTCCTCCAGAGACACCCTCCCCCCCCCATTTTCGGCTGTTGAGTAATGAGGGTGAGTCAGCCGCATTAGGGCTCCTATTCATCCCGCTTCATTGTGCTGAAGCAGGCAGCAGCTACTGGAATTGTGCAGCCCATCTCGGCGCTAACTCAATAGCGCTGCTTATTTCCCCATCTCTTTTTAAAGACCGTGCAGAAGTAAACCTGCTGGGGTTGTGCATTAGTTTTCCTTTCACTCCATAAGCTGCTCCTTTCCCAAGGAGCCCAGCACCTCGCTGCTGTTGGCTCACATAGGCGGTATAAAGCAGAACTGGATCTGCAGTTTTTAAAATTGTTTTCTCGTATTTTCTTGATTAAAGAGTTCTGTCCAAGGAGCGATGGTCCTAGAGGCATCCTTCTTTAGGGGCCTGTGAATACTAATTCCTCTTCTTGGCACCCGGATCTGGTATCTCCTGCTCTGTGTCATGAGTGCAGCATGCCTGGCGTATTACAAGTTGTGTTTGAATTGAAGTGGTATTCCTGCAGCTGCATCATGTGAACATCAACATTAAATGGTTGTTCTGGGATTAATAGTTCTTTCTCTACCTTTTGGACTGTAGCTTCCTTTTGCAGGAGGGGCAGGAAATCACATCCTGTGCCTGACATTCACAGCCTTGGCTCGCTCCCAGAGCGGAGCAGAATTCGGTGCTGCTGCTGCTCGCAGCTCGGGTTGTTCAGGGCACCGGGCGTGAGCTGCCCACTGCAGGGGGGGTCGTGGGGGGGGCAGTGTTTTGCCTCAGCTCTGCTGACTTCAGTGCAGCAGCGGCTCTTGGAGCAAGGACGGCGTTTCCTAAACGCCAATGAGTGCAGAGCATGGCCAGCTGGGCCACGGCCAGGGGCACAGCTCTCCTGCAGCCCCCATCCAGGCAGAAGCGTGCCCGAGCTGTGCCATCAGGTGCGGAGAGCGCGCTGCTGCCCACCGGCCGTGCCGAGCTCCCTGCCACCGCTGCTGCTGCAGGGCTTGTGGGCAGCAGGAGCCTGCACGGAGCTGAGGAAAGCCACAGGTAGCGGGGCTGCCTGTCAGACAGGGCTATAGCTGCACATCAGCATCCTTCTGACACGAAGCTTGACACGCATTCACGTCTTGTTGGCCTCCAGAGCTGAAACTGAGAACTGAAGAGGCTCCTCGTGGTATTTGTTGCTCAAGAGACTGTGAACGTTTCCTCACTCTCACCATTGCTACTTGTCATGCTAGCAAGGCCCCACAGGCTCATGCAAAGCCTTGGGGACACAAACCCTCCTCTCAATGTCTCTGCCTCTCCAGCAGCTGTGCCTTGCCTGTAGGTCTCAGCTTTTCTCCAAATCTGCTTTTGACACAAGCCTGTATCTCCGTGGGTGTGGATGAGCTGGGTGTGCTGTTTGCTTGGCAGACCGATGGTGGGGTGTGAGGGAGCTCCATTGGCGTTGCTGGGATCACCTGGAGCAGCTCTGCACTGAGCCCAGGGTTCGCTGCTTGCCGGTGTTTGTTGCTGGCGTGGTGTGAGGCTGCTGGAGAGGGGGTGGCGGGGCACAGCCTCCTTGTGCTGGGGCAGGGAGATGGTGGGTGCAGGGGGGGCCATGGAGTATCCCACCCCCACCATGGGCCTGCCTCTGCTGCGTGCCTCTGGGCCCCGCATGGGGATGTCCAGTTCCTTTACCGAATTTGCCATGGAGCTGTATCCAGTGGTGGTTTTGCTCACTCATCGTGTTGGGGTTTTAGGCTGGGATGTGGATTCTTGGAACTTGGAGTCCTGACCGGGGATCAGAGGGTTGCACCTTCATCGGCATTTCGTTTTGATCAACATCTTCATCTCCCGGTTGCTTTCTGTCTTTAGTGGTGCCAGTGTTCGTTCCCCAATATTGGGAACAGCTGCCACTGGCTTTGCCATAGACTGCCTTGGATGTGGGCCCCCGTGCTCCCAAAGTGTTCCTTGGAAGCAGGAGAGGTGCAAGATGGAGAGACCTAAAAGGCAGAGAGCTCAGCGAGAGACCCTGTGAGGAACTCCAGGTGAGGGCTGTTTGCCCTCTGCAGCGCAGCGCAGGACGCTCCAAACAGCCGGTGCTCGGGTGCCGGCGTGCGCTCCTAGATTAACCTGATGAAATGCAACAGGATAGGGAGGAAATGAAAGAGTTTGTACAAACTATAGGGGCAACATATGGCAGGCTGGGGATGGGGAGACCTTGGAGAGCAGTTCGTGGCCGCAGAGATACTCAGCCTGTTTTACAGCACAGCTGCTCCGAACAAAAGAGCCTGTCTGGAGCGCTCGTGTGTTAGTTAATGCTGGTGACAGGAAGTTTGGAAAACGTCTGAAATATTGCTCATTAAGTGGGCAAGTGCAGTGCTCAGGTTCGAAACATACTGATCAAATATGTTGGTCATAACGGACATGCTTATGAGATGTGTCAACGATTTAACAGAGTGGGTGCGAAAGCAGGGAAACAGTGGAACCAGAAGGCTCCAAAGGGAGCAATGTGTTGCAGATTAAGGTTGCCCAGGACCCTTTCAGGAGAAATTTGTCCAGCTTGTCTAAATATGTGGAACTGAAAAAGGCAGAGCAGAGAGGGTGGACGGATTGGCTGTCCAAATGGACCTCTGGGTGCCTCAGGTTGGGTCTTCGCAGCAAGTCGGTGAAAATTTCTCTTTTCTGGAGCCGAAGCTCCCAGCTGCAAGGAGCAGGTGGGCACTGTGAGCCTCACCAGCAAGGAGCATCCTGACCTGGGTGCAGATCTGATGGAGTTACTGTGGTTCAGGACTGGTGGTGCAAAACTTATCAGTGAGTCATGTGAGAGGGTCATCTGGGAAATCGCACTGAGAGCTGCGATGAGTGGCTCTGCAGATACACAAGCAGGGGTCAGCAGGATCCCTCTAGTTGTAGTCAGGCCGGATTTGCTCAGGGACATGGAGCAGTACCATCAGCCAGGCAAATCATTTCCTAATGCTTGCAGGACTGTGAGTTTATTATTCTTGCTTGGCATTCTTAAAGTAAGTGTGGATTGAAAGAATATTTGGGTCTGGGTACACAGCAACTGCTGCTGCACCGGGGTAAAGAACTTCTGACCATGCTGTGAAAGGGAGAACTGTTTTCATCAGCTCTGCCATAGGCGTACGAGGAGAGTGAAGTGCCTGCGAGTTTGTCTTGCCCCATACAATAGCACGGTGAAATCAGTGGCAGTTTGTACCTTTGGACACTGAACAAAACCAGCTCTATTTGCTATTCCTCTTGCCGTGAGGGGTGATTCCACCTTTAGCAGAAGGTAGGTGTGGAGCTTTCTGTGAGTGGCCATCCCCGTGCTGCCCACGTGTTTCTGCAGACTCACGGCAATGGGGAACGCTCAGGCTCTCCGGGTGCGGAGGCAGGGAGCTACCTCAGCATCTTTGCTGAAATTTGGGCTTGGTGTGACCCAGATTTTTCAGAACACATGCATGCAACAATGCCCATTGCTGGCACTCCAGCTGCTGGAAAGGACTCCTACTCAGAAAAATTATCAGCATGTAAGGCGTGCGGGCTGCTTTACCCAGGCTGGCTTTGATCTTTGCTCAAGAACTGATTCGGGATAATAACAAGCTGACATAAAACACAAATGGCCACTTTGCGAGACAAAGATGATTGCTTTTGTAGAGCTTTGGCTACCGTGCAATTCATTTCTTTTCATAGCCATGCAGCTAATATGTAAGAAGTCATTTGCAAGATACTCCTGATTTACATAGTGGCCCCACCTTTCCTGCAGCCCCCACTGAAAAAGCTAGATTGGCTGGAGGCTCACAATGCTAACAATGAATAATACATAGCCTGCAATCCGG